TAACGGGCTGGATTTAAACGCGCACAAATTTTTAATTCCAAATGCTTTAAAAAATGGCTATAAAGTAAAGCAAATGCGTAATACGGGCTTTTTACGTGTAAGCAATTCGTATTACGGCTTTATACGGCCCGGGAAAAGCGATAACTTTCCGCCGGTAAAGGGTAAAAATAACGACGAACCCGAAAAACAACCTTTAAAACCGTTAAGGCTAGCTTTATTTTATAAAGCAATAAACCAGTCTTTGCTTACCTTAAAACCGGATATGCCAGTTGCAACTATAAGCGGTACCTTTGCGGCGCTTTTAATTGCAACATTAAAAGCGTTTAAAATTTTTAAAAATTTGTTTAAAGCAAACCTAAACGAGCAAAAAGCGCCGTTTTCCCTTTTTTTTCCGGTTAAAAAAGGCAAAGGCCAATTTTGCAAAGGAACGGGCTTTTCGTTTTCGCCCAAAGCCTTTTTTTCCAACGCGCTTTTACCGAATTTGCCAATAGCTACGTTTAAAGCAATCCGCGCCGCAACGCGTGCGGCCGCAAAAGAAAAAAAAAAAAAAAAAAAAAAGGGAAAACAAACGACGCAATAATTTTAACAGCGCTATTTTTTATTACGGTTTAGCAATAGCGTTTAACGTTCCCGAACCGGAAATTAAAAACGTTGCTTTTAAAGCAAATTTAATAAACAAAAGCTAACAAGCTTTTTTCGATACGTATTTGCTTAATTAATAAATAGCAATTAAAAAAAGTAATTTTGGCTATTGCCCGGTTTACGAAATAATTATAATTGCCGTAACGAAAATATCGAAACGCAATAACCTTTAAAAAAACAAACGGTTGCACCGAAACGAATTACAACGAATTTTAAAATTTTAGCAAAAGCTTAATACGTACCCGCATAAATTTTTTTTTAAATAATTTGCTTTCGGAAAAATTAACAAATTATTAAAAAAAAAATTTAAAAAAAATTCCGAAAAATTTGCTTAGTGGTAAAGCTATCGATATTATTTAGGTATTTATTTACAAATTCGACGAAAACGGCTACGTTACGAATTATAAATTCCGCGCGGTAGCTAAAGGTAATTAATAACCTAACGGTTTGGAAAAAATTTACGCTATTACGCTTGCAACCAAAAGCTTTAAAATTATAATAGCAATTATAGCTTATTTTAATTTCGAAACGCACCAAATTAACGTTAACAAAGCTTTTTTTTACGCAAAAATTAGCGATAATTATATACCCGTTTACGTAAAATTCTTTTTTAGGTATTACCGAAAAAAGTTCGTAGCCCGGCTTAAAAAAGCCCTGTACGGGTTACGGAATTTACCGAAATTGTAATATTTAGCTTTCGAAAAAACCTTTAAAAAGCTAAAGCTTACCCCGTTAACGGAAAAGCCTTATTTATTTATAAGCATAAAACGTAAGGTTTTTTTCCTTTTATACGTTAACGACATAATTATTTTTAACCGTGCTACGCATTTAAAAATGGCAGCGAAAATGTTAAACGGTTTTAAAAAAAAATATAAAATAAAAAAAAAACTATTTAAAGTTTTCCTCGGAATCCAAATCGTAAAGGATAAAAAAGCACGAACAATAATTTTGCATTATAACTTTTACATTAACAAAATCGTTAATACTTTTAACTTTAGAAATAAAAACGTAAAGCGTTTCCTTTTGCTTAGCTAAACGCTTAAAAAAAATTTGGGGGTAACAATACCCGCCGAAATTTTAACTATGCAAAAAAAAGTTGGGTTTATATTTTATACGGTTATTACCATTTGCCCAAACGTTGCTTTTGCAAGCGCAAAACTTTCCAAATACTTTACAAACCCAAATAAAAAGTACCTAAAAGCGGCAAACCATACCCTTTTGTACTTAAAAAGGTTGAAATTTTATTGCATCCGGTTAGGGAACGTTTTAAAATTCGACCATTTGCTTTTTGCTTTAAACGCTTTTTTCGCTAACGATAAAAAAACGAAAAGGTCGTTTAAAAAATACGTTATATTTTTATTTAAAAGGCCCGTAGCGTAAAAAGCAAGGAAACAAGCTACCGTTACAACGTTTACCATAAAAATAAAGCTTTTAGCGCTTATAAAGCTTGGAAAAAAAACCATCGCTATGCAAAGGCTTTTTTAAAACCTGCGCTTAAAAATTGATATTTTTTAAAAGCTTTGCTATAACAATATACAAACGATCCAATTAGTAATCGAAAAGGGCACCCGCATTAATACGGCTTTAAAGCACGTAAATATTATAAACATGTAATTACGCTAAAAATACCAAAAAGGAACGTTTAACGTGGTATATTTTAAAACCGCTTTTATGCTAGCAAACGGGTTTATTAAAAATTTCCCGCTTTACAAATTTAAAACATTTAAAGTTATTTTAAAATTGCACGATTTTTCCAAAAGCGGGTTAGCAAGCTTAATACGCAACCAAAAACTTCGGAGCAAATACCAAAAGCGTATAACGTTTGTATAAAAGCATAACGCAAATTCCTTTTTTATTAATAAGCATAAAGTATGCCGGTTTTAAATAACAAAACGGCATTTAATTATAACGCGTGCAGCTTTTAAAAGCGCTGCACCTTTTTTTTATCCATTTTTTCTTTCCATTTTAACTTTAACCCTTACCCATTATTTGGTGGATAAAAGCATTTCCATAAAAGGAATAGCCCCGAATTATTGCGGTTTTAATGCTATTTTTTTAACCTTTTTCGTTATTATTACCATTTTCCTTTTTTTTTAAAATTGGGCTACAAAAAGCAAAATTACTTTAACGGGAAACCTTTTTATTCCTTTTTTTGGCTTTATCCTTTTATTTGCTGCCCGGTTTCGGGTAAAGCTCGAAAAAATGGCTTACCATTTTTTTAAGCTTTTTAATTTTAAAGCGAAAATTATTTAAAAGCTTTTTTTAGAATAAAGCAATTGCAATGCATAATTAAAGCAAAAAAAAAAAAGGTTGCAACGGTAATTGCTTTAAGCACATTAAATATACCGTAAAATACAACCATTTCGAAAAAAGCGCGTTATAAGCTTATTACTGCAAAAGCCCCGAAATTTTGTTAAAAAGCTTTTGGTACATTTATTGCATGGGACCGCGCGGGGAATGGTACTATCGGGAAAGCCAGTTAAAACGTTCCCGTTAAGGAAAAATCGACGGTTTCGCTAAAAAAAAAGGCTAAATAGCATTTTTTTTAAGGATTAAAACGGAAAGGAAAGGGGTGGTTAGCATAAAACCCGCGAAAACGGTTAGGAACGAATTAACCTAGCTATTTACCCTCGTTTTTTTACCCGCTTTGCGCTTCCGGGTATTGGAAGAAACGACGGGCTTATCGTTATTATCGTTATTTTTTTAAACGAACCAATTAACGAATTTATTGGAATTAAAATCGATTTTAATTATTTAACAAACAGGCTAATTGGGCCCAAAGCTTTTGCTTGGTTTAACCGGAGCTTAAAAAGTACCGGTCGGATTGGGTTAAAAATTAAAACGAAAAGTACAAAAAATAACAGGAATAACCAAAAGTTCGAAAACGGTTACGGCAATATTAATCGGGGTTTAGGTTAAAAAACGGCGCAAAGCTTCCATCCGTTTAACGTAACGAACCCAATTAATTTTAACCCGTTTAGCGCTTTTAGCAAACGCACGCGCTTTTATCGCTTTAATTGTTTGGGCGTTATTCCAAGCCTTTTTGCGGGCAGCTTGTTGTTCCCGCGCGTTTTTTGTATCCCGTTGTTTATTTTTTTCCGCGGGAAATTTACTTTTTTTTTGTTTGTTTTTTTCGATTTGTTAGGCTTTTTTCCTTTTTTTAAATAATGCTTTTTTTGCTTGCTTAGCTTTAATTGTTAAAATAGCTATAACCGTTTGCAAATCCGCATTACACGCGCATAAAGCAAAATTAACAAAAAAGCAATAAATTAATAAAAAAATAAAAAATTACAATTTATTTTTTTTAAGCTTAAGCCCGGTTAAGCTTTTTGCGTTTAGCGCGCTTTTAAACGGTTGCACGCGTTGCTTTATTACCGGCAATACCCATTTTCCAGCCAATTTGTTAGCACCGTACAACGCTTTTAAAACATTACGCCGCCGCGTAAAGCATTTACAATTGCTTGCTTTTGCTTTTGCAAAAATTTTTGTATTAACAAAGGCTTAAACGATAAAAACAAAAACGTAAGGATTTACGGATTAGTAAAAAAGTAATAATAAAAAGGAAAAAAAAAAGGCCGGAACGAAATAAAAAAAAAAGGTTTTAATTATTACGCCCACTTTTTTCCGGTAATGGTTAAAGCATTTGCTTCGTTACTTTTTGTAGCTAAAGCATTTGCTTCGTTGCTTTTAGCAGCGGGAAGCGCTTGCTTCGTTACTTTTCGAAGCTAATGCGCTTTTACGGTTACCCTTTAAAAGCGGGAAACGCTTGCTTCGTTACTTTTCGAAGCTAATGCGCTTTTACAATTAACCTTTAAAAGCGCGGTAAGCTTTTAAATCCTACGCTATTAATATAGCAACCAATTTCCCTTTGTTTTATTTACAAACAATTTAAAAAGCTTGCTTGGGAAATGTATTACAAAATAAATAGTATATATTGTTATAAAAAAATTTTAAGCATAAATATTAAATGCTTAAAGCATCGGAAAAGCGGTCCCTTTGCTTGGAAGCGTATAACGCTTCCAGGCGTTAAAAAGGAAGCTTAGTAAGCAAGGAAAACAGGAAGTTACGTGTATATAAAGGGCAGAGGCCCTTACGGGACCCTGCACTTCAGATCCTTTCCTCTTTAGAGCATATCAACCGGAATAGCTTCACACCGTGCCTATCCCTTCTGCCTGCAACAACAAACGATGCCCAAACCCAGCGATAGTGAAAGTCCACCAGGCCACCAATCCCCTTCAAAGCCGGAAGACATCGCCGCGTCGACATAGCCCAAGAATACAAGACCAGGCTAGAAACCAACAGCATTCCAATCGCCGAAGTAACCAGCCAATCCCAAGTTTTTACCACAAGCAGCCACTTCACACGGAAGTGGCATCCGCATTGTGCATTTCCTGTAAGAAACAGCAACCGTTCGTGGGCCCTAAGCGCCCCGGCTTAGGGCACCTATAGCCAGCCACGCACCTCGGGTCGGTGCAGTCCAGGCCCCGGTCGCAGCACGAGAGCCGGGCCAAAACCTGCAGCGCGAGGAGCAAAGGCCCGTAAACCTGCTCCCCGTGCCTATTCTGGCAATCTCCGAACCTGTCCGTCCAAAAGCACTCCCCAAGCAGGTGGAAGCTGTGGCAGTACTGGCGCTTTTTTACCCGGGCCAGGTCCTTGGGCGAGCACTGGATCGGTAGGTCCACGCGCTACCCGTGCCGATTCCGCCGCACCGTACCGAGCGGTGGCGGCGGCGGCGGCGGGGCGGCGCTCCCGACGTTAACCCATTCGTGGAGGACCGGGGCTTGGGTTTCGTCCCCGGACGGCGGCGGGACGGCGGCGGTTTGCGGTAGTGCCTCCCACGCCACGACCGCGCCCGACTCCGTAACCGCGACGGAGGAGGGACTTGGTTTGGCAGTGGCTAAAGCAGCAGCAGCAGCAGCAGAAACGCTGGCGTGTTCGAACGACGGCGTGGCGGGTAGCGTGATGTGGGAGGGTGGCTTATTGCTGGAGCTCTACAGCTTCTCCTTCCGAAACACGCCATCCATAATCACCAAGCGGAAACGGTCTTTAATTGGTTCCAGCTTTTGTGCTAGGGGAGGGCCCTGGAGCAGCGTAATGCGCCGACAGGCTGCATCGCCGCCAACGTGCGGCCCCAGCAGACCCGCGCACCCGTCGGCAGAGCCGCCGAAAAAGATCCTCTAGCAGTGCACGTCGCCGAAATTGAGGCCGAAGTCAGCCTTGACCTTTGCGTCGGTGCATCCCTCCCCCTTGCCTGCGTCGATCATGGCGCACAGCAAATCCGGTGCGTTGGAATCCGGCGTGTTGAAGTCCCAGACAAACTCGTCGATCGAGTTCCAAGAGGGGCCGCCCGGGAAGACAGTGCCCGCGTCCCTGTAGGCTCCGGCGAGACCTACAAAGTCGGCGTACACGCGCACGACGATGTTTCTGCCGGCCATCAGCACGTCCAGGTGCGACTTGACGGCCTGGAGCAGGCTTTGCGCGGCCTGGTGGCCACCGTCAGCTCCGGACCGGATAAATTCGTCTTGGAACTGCGAACGGAACCGCCAGACTCAGTCTTGTCTTGTAAGGGGTGAGCACGTGGGAGGGCGATGACCGAGACACTTACCAGCATATGGTCGCCATCCAGGAGAACCAAGGCAAAGGAGTTTGCTTGAATTGAGCTCCTCGCATCAGCCCGGTCTTTGCGATAACGGTCCAGGTTACGCTCCGCTTTCTCCGGCGTTCCGGAGAGGAAATTATTCACGTAGGCAGAAAGGGCCTGTTTGGGAGCGGGAGTTTGGCGTTAGCAGGCCGAGCTCAGTCTGGCGCGCGGAGTCGTATATCCACGTCGGGATTCTCGCCTGAATCGTCGCCGTGTTGGCCTTATCCTAGCTTTTCAACGGCTGATAGGACGTGAGGAGCTCCTCGAACTTCTTGTCGTGTTCTGCCATGGGGATCGTAAGGTACCGCTACCGACGGGAACCAACGGGAGGGGGTGGGTGAAGAGTCCAGTCGAGGACAAGCCTTTTTCGAAGAGGCGACGAGGGAAACTAGAACGGATAACGGCTTGCCACTTTCCGTACAACACAGACTAGGCTCAAGCATGCACGACAGTAAATAAGAAAGTCCGGGAGGAAACGAGAGGAAGGTTTAAATAGATGTAGCTGGTGCCGTATGTCTCAGCGGTATTCGAAAGTACGAGTGCATGTGTAAATGTTGTGGCGGTCATCCCAGCCCACGGCTTTTTTAAGGCATCATGGCCAAGCTTGCTGTTGAGAAGACGGCATCATCATCGGCATCGCCAACGCGGCCGCATGGACCCATCTACAGACTAGTGTTTCAACCAGGAGGCGGCTCTGCTACCTGACCTCCTGGGAGCCAGTCCGACTCCCATGCTTCCCTCACATCGAAGTCGAGGCCGGGGCTGGGCACCAGGCCAAGGTCCACGAGCAGGCGCGTGGTCTCGCGCCAGCGTTGCATGTTTGCGATCCGATAATAAAACGTCCAAGCCCGGCGAGGCAGGTCGATCTGCGCGTCGCAGCGCCTGCTGGCCAGGCGCGTTGCCGGCGCGGAAGGTTCGCGCCAGCAGGGTGTGACCGAGCGGCCGGTTTAAATAAACCTTGAGGGCTGCGCCAAGACGGGTCTCGTGTGCGGGGTTGGTCCGACTTGCCGGATGACGCGCACGCGGCCCGCCGTGTCGCCCCCAAGGATCGCGCCTATTTTGCGTCTACGTCGGGGCAGCTGCGTTGTGGACTGATCTAGCGTCCAGCCACAAGAGCCCGTGGCGCGACGTGCGGGGTCTATCTGCCGCGTGGTCACGTGTCGACGTGGCCAGTGCATGTCAGTGCTTTATGCAGCGGGGATGGACCGCCCTCGAGAGTGCATGGTCGGCGTTGACGTCGATCCCGGGCGCGCGATGAGCCGCCATTGCCTTGTGCAGCGGGGGACCGCCCTGCAAGCGCGTGGTCGGTCGCCGTCAACGTCGATCCCGGGCGCGGAGGGGAGCGACCTTGACGATGGTCGGGGCGCGCGGCCTATGGCCATCAGCAGAGCCATGGCCATGTCAGCCTAGCCGGTCATGACGTTGATGTTTCGCGGCACTTGTTCGTGCAGGAAAAGGTTGTTGATTCTTGTCACAAAGGAGGCACCCGGTGCAGAACTTTAGCTTTGCTCCGCGCCGGGCACCGGATCTAGACCCACAGCCGGACTCGTATCGCGCTTCCGGGAGGAGTCCTACCGGCTTGGTAGCCAGGGAGGGAGGGGGACGTGAGCCTATGGACGGCTCCTTGTCCCGTTGCTCCCTTTCCTGCCTCGAGACCTTTCCCATGCATAAAAGCCCACTGTGCATCCCATCTACCCCGCAAAAATTATTTTCATCCGACCGCCCGAGACAGCGCCGTCCGGCCTCGACCCCGGCGCGGAGATCACCACGTCCGGCTTGGAGGAACAGTTCCGTGATCTCGGCAAAGCGCCCCTCTATCGCCGAGACCAGAGGGGTGCGTCCAGTGTACTTGGTAGTGCTCGGGATTTACGTCGGACGACCGTTCGATCGGGTCGCACCAAACGGCTAACATCCGGCAAAAAGAGCGACTTCGAGGGCAGACAAGCCGTTGCGCTGGGCGACAAGGCGGAATCCGAGGGGTTCTGGTCCCTTTGACTGGCGCTTATAATGCGCTATGCGAGATGCAACCCCTCGGGCCGATAGCTTTTTTTCCATGACGGGCAGACGGTGATATGTTTGGAACGCAAAGGAGTGGAGGGGAAAGGGGTAGATGAGTCTTCGAAAAACTATTTCCAACTCGAGGGCTTGTCAAACCGAGCGCCATGTTGCCCTCACCCCTACGTCTCCTCTGGTATGGGGAGGTCACACCACATCCCTGACCTCTCAGGGACAGCCCGCCGCCCACACCTCCCTCGCATCAACGTCGAGGTCCGGCACCAGGTCCACAAACAGGCGCTTGATGTCGCGCAGGCCCCGCAATTCCGCGGTCCGATAGGGGGTGTAGCCTAGCCGGTCAGGCAGGTTCGCGTCGCAGCGCCCGCTGGCCAACAGCACCTCGACCAGCTCGACGTCACCGGCGGCGACAGCTTGCCCCAGCAGGGTGCAGCCTACCGCGTCCTGGCGGTCAAAGTCCACTTTGGGGCTGCGCAGCAGGGCCTCCAGGACGAGCCTGGCACGGGATCGGTCCGGCTGCCGGATCGCGCGCATGGTCGCCGTGTCGCCCCAGGAGTCGGGCTTGTTCACGTCGAGGTCCGGGCGCGCGAGGAGCATCTCCATGACCTCGACGGCCCCTGTTTTCGCCGCCTCGTGCAGCGGGGTACTTCTCGAGAACACACGACTGCTGTTGACGTCGATCCCAGGCACGGAGAGGAGCAAGCTGACAATGGAGGACTCGAACGGTCCATCACCAACAGCCATCAATAGGGCCGTGGCCATATCGTCCTGGCCACTCGTAACGTTGATGTCTCGCAGTACTTGTCCGTGCCTGAGAAGCTGCTCGACGATTCCGGCCCGCCTGGCCGAGACTGCGCTCATCAATGCTGTCCGGCCCTGGAACCTCGCCCGGAGATCAACGCGTCCGGTTTGAAGGAGTAGTGTCGCAATCTCGTCGTGGCCTCTCTCGATCGCGAAGACCAGAGGGGTACGCCCCGTGTAGTGCTTGGCATTCACGTCAAGCTTGTCGCTGCGGATCAGTTGTCGCACCATGTCGGCAGCTCCGGCGGCAACGAAAAACGAAAGGAGTGTGGGATGCCACTTCACCCAAGACAACACGGCCCTCTCCCCTGGAATCCCGGCATTCTCGCCATATTCCCTGACGAGCTTGGTGATAAGGGCCCCTGAACAAGCTGGGCCCAGCAAACCAAGTGCTTCAAGAATATCATCCATCGACCCGGTTGTACCCCACCGCAGCGCAAATGTTAAAGGTGAAAGGCCGTGGGTTACGACATCGACATTCTTCAGATTGGCAACGATTTGAGGAACCATCCACCGTGCCTCGAGCCAACGGCGGTTGGGAGTCTGGCAAGCATATAGAAGTATCACCTCTTTCGGTAAAGTCTCATCCAAGTGCTTGATAACAATACCAACCCCGGGAGAAAACCACGTGAAATACTTCTTCAGCCAAACAAAAACCATGCGGTCGTCTAGATTCTCAACGAATGACCCGACACTCGCACCTCTTCCCGCGTGCGAGGTTAGGAATCTTGTCGAATAGCTTTCTAGCGATGAACATGCACCCAGGTGCGGGTTATGCACCAGGAGGTCCTCCAAGTACTTTAGGCAGACTGATGCAATTTTATCATGAGCGAAAGGTTGGAACTCGGGTGCTTCGAGACCGTCCAGGCGTGTCAGCCCGTTTGGTGAAGATAAAAAATCAATCACCGTCTCATGAATAAATTGCAGGATGGGATCGTAGGGGGTATCGTAGAATGCGTCGGGGCTAGGGTCCTGTGGCAGGATCTCCACTAGACCCCTCGCGCAGTTGATGATGAAGCGTGACATATCCTCGATGCGCGGTAGGTTACTTTTGAGGACAAGGATATCCTCTGGCGGTTTGCGGCTGCGAAGGATGGCCACGTATAGCTCGGACACCTTCAGGGGCTCCCGGCTGCAAAGCACCCACAATAGACAATGGTATGTGTCGAGCTGATTGGGACCTGATTTGTTGAGAAGGCTGGCAAACAGTTTCGCAACGTCGTCTGGTATTTCCTTCATGCGCGCTTCGAGTGCCTCCATCAATCCTTGATCATATGCTTCGTTGAGCGAGGCGACGACGAGCACAACCCACAGGAAACTCCCGCGGGACTTCCGAATGAGCTCCCGCCGCATCGTCTCCTGCTCCTGGCCCTGACCAATGTTCAACTCGGTATCAAGATAGCTGATGATGTCTTTGTAATGATCTTCAATTCGTTCCAGGACCAGGAGATACCTTCGTTCGACGGATATGTGAGGAAAATGGCGGCTTGAGATGCAGATAAGGAGATTCACTCCCGCGGCAGCTGCCAATCTCCTAGCCTGCTGCAATGTTCCCACAAGCCCTCTCGCCTGTCCAGAATCACACTCATCGAGTGCGTCAACGAAACAGACGAGTTTGTCCCCACTGAAAAGCTGGTTAAGGGCGTTGAATAGAAGTCGTTGCAGGAATGGATTGGTCCATTGGACCCCCTCGACTTCTGTAGGATCAACTTGGGTCTCTTTCAAAAGCCGTGCCAGACCGGGATGTCGTCGCTTGGCCTTAATGATTTGGTATAGAAAGGTCCGGTACAGGCCCAGAACTATCTTCTCCTGTTCAACCCCGCGGTTGTGGAAGAAAAAGCTCAGGAGCTGAAGGTTTTCGGGTGTGGAGTGGGTGGTCCGAACATGATCGATAACAAATTTCATAACGGTCGACTTTCCGGTTCCTGGATTTCCCATGATCCAGAGAAAGTCGTTACCGTCGCTGGCATTAAGCCAGTCGACAATATCCGGGTGTTGGCTCAGCCAGCCGCAAGTGGCATCATGAGCCGGTTTTACCGTGTTTTCACGCCCGTGCATTTGGGGGAATCGCAGTGCAGCCAGCCAGTGCGCTACAAGATCTGAGCCCGCTTGGATAGGCAAAGAAACGGCTGTCACGGACGTAGGGTCGGCTGTTGGGGGTGCAGGATCGACGACCATGGAGACCTGATTATTCATAGCTTGTGCTCGCGGATCGGGATGGTTCCCCATGATTCTTTTCAAAGCAGACACAAACTTGAGATAGTCAGGATTGCTGGTGCTAAAGAAGCGGCACATATCCATGTGGTTGCTGGATATGTGTTCTGTTACCTCGACGGTAGCATCGCCAAGGCACGAAGAGGCATCCTCGACAACCTTGGAACCGCCAAGGGGTGCGATGCCGTACTGCTCTTGGAAGGAGTGGATGAGCCACTGCCGATCATGGGCCATCGGGCCAAACTCTTCTCTCAGCTCGCGCAAACGCTCAGAGCTGGGGAGTAGGGTGTTGACAATTGTCCTTTGACCGAGAAGCCCGCTGCACACCACGGGGGTCAGATCCCCCGTGTGGAGTGCCGAAGAAGATGACGCCGCGAGTGGACAGGAAGACCGAGTGGAGATGCCGCTGATGCGTCGTGTACCCCCGAGACTGCCGCAGCAGCTCCTTGACCACGATGCCCCCAAGGCTGTGTGCGACGAAGATCAGAGGCCTGTCGTCCGCGCTGCTGCTCGTCCGGACAGAGGTGAGCGACACGAGGAGATCTCGTGAAATGTCGTACACGCTGTTTTGGCTGATTTGGCCATGAAATCGATGCTTGATATTGGTGTCGTATCCGAAGGTCGCGATCCTCGCCGACGGCGCCGTCTCTGAGAGAAGCTCCTGGGGCCAGTAGACCTCCCGGTATCGCTTGTGTGGCTTGAAGACTGGCGATAAGAATCCCCTGATTCGACTAGAGCGTGACGACGAGGTTCTGCTGCTCTCGCCATCTCCGGACTCGCATGGCAACCGCGGGCTTCTGCTGTGGAGCCAGGTGCGCTTCGGGTGCCCTGTGAATCCGTGAACAAAGACGACGCTTTTGGCGGTTGTTAGCGACGGCGGAAGACCGGTACAGGGCTACGCAGGCGACATACTCGAATGCGGGGTCATCAGGGGCAACAAGCACCGTGAGGCCGACAGGCGGCACCGCATCCTGTGCACTCGCGTTCGTTTCGACGGCAACGGGTGCGACCGATGTGACGAAGCCTTGTGGCTCTGAAGAAAGATTGATTGTCGGTAACCACGCAGAGACGGTGGAGATGCTGGGCCTCGCTCAAGAGAACCTGGGCGCTGGGGGTCAGGCTGTCGAGAAACGGCGCCGAGGTGGCACAGCGGCTGAGTGTCGACTGGCGCCATCCACAGCCGAGTTTAATGCAGCCCTCACGTCTTCTGATTTGCTGCCTACAGTAGGTAATTATCTGCTAAACACCACAGCGCAGTTGGGGCACGACCTAGTCGCAGTCGCAGGACCCCGAGTTCGGCGCCTACCTATTAATTACCCCAAAGTGCCTACCTGCGATCCTTTCATATCATAATGATGGATTGCGTGCCGGCCAACATTCCTTCTGCGAGCTCCTTGCTTTCCTTCCCTATATCCGCCAAGCTTTTAAGCAATCCCTCCCAGTCTATCCGCCAGCCCTGCTCGACTTTTTTGTCCCATTTGAAGTGACTGCGATCCAGCCAGCTCGCGTCGTGGCCGACCTCTGGTCCTCCCAAACCTAGCCTGAGATTTACCCAATTTCTTCCAAAGCCCGGCAAATTGTTACGGCCAGACAGACCACGGCCCAGGAGCGGTCGGCAGACGCACACGGTCGCTTAGGTAAGCTGGCTCTGTCAATCTGTCGACAGAGCCACAGAGTTAAGGTCATTAAGAAAGGATAGTGTACGTACCTCAGGACTAGAGGGTCGAGGTATAAGAAGGAGGATTTCCTACTGTCCTAGGTAGCCTTGATAGATGCACTGGCATCAGTCAATCTAAGTTAGCTTCCAAGTATCCCTTGGAACAAGCATCCAGACCTGCACCCAAGATCTTTGTGAATCCCCTCGATTGTCAAGTCACGTGTTACTGCTCGGTACTCCTTAGGTGCCCTACCTTAGGAGCAGAGGCCTGTTTGTAACACAAATCCAAGTAAACTCGAATATGGCGAGGCCGATACGACGAAAGATGGGCCCCCGATCATCCTTTCCTACCCGCTACACCAGCAAAAAGTAGCATCTGACATTTCCGCCCCGTGGAAAGCCCATTTACCTAAGGCGCGGTCGCTAGACTCGCTGCAGTTCAACGGTGCCCACGATGGCGACGAAAGCCGGGCTCTTATGGAGATGGGGGGTGTCACAAAGAAGGAAGGTATGTAGGCACACTGCGGAGGTCGGCCCGATGCTCGGCCAGATTCGGGCATGGAAGCATACTTCAGAAGTCAGCCCGATGCTCAGCCCGGTTCAGGCATGTCGAATGGGTACCTCGGGGTCCTATATCAAGCATGGGGGACAGGGGTCAAAAATGTATATAATGGCAGGGAGCCGGAGGCTCCCTGTACCAGACTCCTTTCCTCCTCGGAGAGATAGACCAAGCCTCAATAGAGCCTACATTGCCTCCCTTCTCCTTGCAACAGGGGGCCGCGCCGGTCAGGGAAGTCTGGGGTCTCTGATAGGCACGGAGCCACCGCCCGCTCGGCTAGCCCCTTTGGAGCATGACGGGCTCGGCCGTGAGCTAGATCAAGTACCTACAGGAGCAGGAAGGCCTTTTTTTGGAACGGGAGGATGGTACAGGTAGCACCTGGCATTAGAGATTTTGATCAAATTCTCATGACATTTTGTTCAGCTGATTGTCCAAGACATATTTTCAAGCACCCACCCTCGGACACTATTATACGAATTTTGCTTCTCCCATTCCCAAGTTTGCGCCCAGACCTGGTAAGCGGCAGTGTGCCCAGTACAGGGAATAACAACAAAGGATAGACTCGGCTGAAAAGGAGGGGCAGTCTAAGGCGTTTTTTTCTCCGGGCAGTTTAGCCGCAAATGTAACGGTCGCCTGGCCGGATGGCCATTGAACGGATGCCGTACCCCACGCCTGCATGCATTAAAATGCAAGACCTCCCCGACGTTTTGTTCCGCCGCTGGCTACGCTTGTTTCTCTTCTGCCGAACTTTAGACTTCTTTTGAACCTTTAATCATCTATCTCTGAATTATAGAATCCGCATGAATCCAAATATTTAATCACCATTTAGCGGCAGCATGGAAAGCGAAGCTGCAGACGGGTCTGTCTCCCGAGGCAAAAGGTCCAATGTATCTACAGAATCCCAGCCACTTGACCTGGACAGGCGCGAGATTCGGCTTGTTCGTCTACGGGCTGCCGTTTACATCAGCGAACCGATTCACTGCGACCTACTTCAGATTCCCTTCGGCGAGGATGCTGAAGATGGCGAGTTGATCCCCTATGAGGCTTTATCTTGGGTATGGGATAACAACCAGGGTCACGGCATCATCGTGGACGGGCGCGAACCCATCCTTCCATCAACCCTCCGAGACGCCCTGGCAAGCATTCGTCTCTTTGGACAGGACCGAATCCTCTGGATAGATGCAATTTGCATCAACTGGGCTAACCAGGAAGAGATAACGCAACAAATCACGTTGATACCACGCATTTTTGAGAGAGCTGAGAGTGTCATTGTTTGGCTAGGACCCGAAACGCCAGACACGCGAATGGCCATGCGATGGCTGCGCGATATTTCTAGGACCTTTGAACAAGACGCACGCTCGTCAAAGCCCGAGACGAACCTCGACGAACTCCCCAAAGTTCGTGGTGCCGGCGACTCGGAGGCACGAGACAAGCTTTCTGTCCTTTGCAAAAGCACATGGTTCACCCGTTTGTGGTCTGCACAGGATGTGGCAAATGCAAGACGGGTAACCATCACGTATGGTCGTGAATCCGTCAGCTCACGGGCCTTCGTGATGGCTTCGATCCGCTACTTTACCACCTTTCCCGAATACGTTAAGCCGATGCTCGAGCTTATGCCGGGCCCCCTGAGGGAGGAATCTCGGGCGAACGGCGGCCGCCATCTCTTCTCCCTTGTCCGCAAGTTCTTCAAACATAGATCAACGAGTCTCCATGATAAGGTATACGCGCTTGTACAAGTTTCCGATGACGCACGCTATACTCGTCTTCTGGAAGTGGATTATGAGGAACCGGTGGAGGAGTTGCATGCCAGGACACTCGGGTACTTTGTGTTTCCCAACGAGTCCATGGCTTGCAGAGATGAGGTTTTGGCCGAGTTGAATGGTCGCGGGCTCGACGACCTCCCCGACTCGCCTACCCAGTTAGCAAATGTGTTGCTGCGATGGGCTATTGAGACCAACCGGCCAAGTCTTCTAGCCGCTCTCGTCCGGGAGCGATCCGACATCGACATCAACGGCTCTTCGTCAGCGCAGTGCCCGCATCTGTGTCTCCTGGCCCGGCGAGGAGACATCAATGACAAAAATCTTGCAAGAACCCTTCTCGAACGGGACGACATCGATGCCAACTGTGTCTATGAAGGAGACAGCGCCCTCAACCTTGCAGTCAACCATCGGAGTCTTGGGCTGGTAATCGTTCTTGCCTCCCGACCTGACATCGATATATGGCACATCGGGTCCAACGGGATGACGCCACTGGAGTCAGCCTGGACCGACCTTCTAATAATGCCCAGAAACACCTCCATCTGTGAAGCGCTCCTACGAAATCAGGTCATCTGGCAAAATATGGACGCCATGTCGACGCTGTTCGAAAGGTTTCCGGACATCCGCCAACTCGTTGATGGGTACCGGAAGTCGCCTATCACGTCCATCTCTCCCGCCTCGCCCGCACTACAACGGGGCCTCGTATCTCCTATTACGCAGCTACAGCAGCACGCAAGGGAAGAAGGAGATCCGAGTATTATGCGCACAATGATAGAGGACGCCGACGAAAATCCCAACTTCCCCGACGGGGACGGCGAGGATATAGGGAGCCTCACTATGGAAGAAGAACTCAGCTCGGGCATAAATGTCAGAGACTCGGAATCTCTGCTGGAAGTTGACGTTCAGAAGCACGCATACCAGGATTCGGGCTACGGATCCACTTCAAGGGTGCCGACTCTAGAAACGTCCTCGCGGCAGTCTGTCTTTGGAATCACAGAGCTGATCGAGCCTCAACCATCGAGGTCAGATCTCGACGATGACGTTCGATCCATGGTGTCGGACAACGACGACATCGCTTCCCAAGCGACCGACGAGACGACAGCCGCTGCATTCACCGGGAAGACCTTGATAAGGACGTTCTTGAGCGACCAGCCACGGTTCATGGTGCTCTGCGAAAAGGCATCTTCAGCAATGGGGGACGAGCGCTTTGTCCAGAACATGCGGCGGCTGTTGAAGTCTTTCCACAAGAACTTGCTGCGAGAAGCCAGCACCGAGGGGGAGAAGGCGGTCGCCAAGCTCCTGCGGAGCCGTCAGGGGAGGCTCCGCATCAGCCGCCAGCTCGTCATTTTTCTCAAGCAAGAGCAGGAAGGCTGGGACGGGGACCGGATCGAGGCGCAGGTCGCCCCGCGAGAACAGCGCGGTGTGGAGATTTGGCTCAGGGCCGTCGCTGGAAACCCTGAAGCGCGCCGGGATTGGGATCCCACACCTCCCACGACCGAGGAGCCTGATCACGCAGGACCAAGTTCTGATGACGAAACCGACATTGAAGAAGGAGAAGAAGAATTTCCGCACATCTCCGAGCTGAGGCGGTTCTTACAGCGCGCTGAATCCTACGAGAGACTGCTCGAGGACTTCGAGCTCATGTTCTTACCCCCCTGGTTGACACGCGTGCTTCAATCTGTTCCTAGAAGGGACATCAGCCTGTCGAAGCGACAGGATACTTCGGTCGCAAATACGCTGAAGGCTTGGGTGGAGGACCACACGCAGGTGAGGTGGGACTGGTGGCCGTTTGAGCGACGAAGACGGACGTTGCGAGATGACCAGTCTCATATTTTCTGGAAATGCGTAAGTCAAAATGTGCCATCTAATGCCCAATCCCGTCCCCGTGGGCATTCAGAGACAACGCTAATCAGCGCTTCACAGAGCTGTGGAAAGTCGCGGTGGAAAGAGATTTCTGCAGCACAAGTAGGGTCAGTGAGACAAATACTCGACCTTTCGAGGGACAAGCCGGACCTTCCAACCAAGTGCTTGCATACAAGGGCACGGAGTCTGTCAGAAATATTCTCCTTCCCGGTTCGGCGTGCTGCCCACTCCCCAGCCACTGGGGCGAGGTCATCGGCAGCCCAGAGATACACTCCGTCGGGGTCATCTCCAACGAACCCAGCCACTGCCGGCTCGGCTAGCAGTCAGGGAACCGAAGCCACGGGCAGTACTGGATCACTTGGAACGCTGACCCTTCGGCAACACGGTCTAGTGCGGACCGCCGAGTCAACCATCGACAACAAGTGGTGGATATTGGTTGGTGTCCAAGCAGGGTGGCCAAGCAGCGCGGTTGCTCCAATCAGTCAATTCGGTCTTGACGAGAAAAATACCGACTCCGACTTCTTCAGGAAACTGAAGCAGTGCTACGAAGGTCAGCGAGGCTGGTGGAGGTTGTGGTTCCTCATCTGGCAGCTAGACTACTGCGAGGTGACGAGGGTGAGTCTATTCGCTTTCCACTCTGGATGGATCCCAGGGCAAAAGCTGATCACCATCGCCGCTACCAGTTCCGGCAAATTGCGCCCACGCTACTGGCCCGCGAGCGGTCCGATCTTCCCAGGAAGGACGAGTACTGTTACGATCCCCGCCCCGACGACCAGGACGCCACGAACCCTCCGATAGAATACGATGTGTTCCAGGCCTGCTACTACAGCTGTCCTCCCTCTTGCATCTGGTCAGCTTTCCACCACTGCATCCCCGACCAGACCGGCACCGAAAACCTGGTGCGCATCCCCAAGAGGACGAAGCGCTTCGGTGAGGACCAGAGACAGGCGGTCTGGGGGCTGGAGCCGATATTTGCGGTTTCGTTTTTCCGCGTTGTTCTCTATCATTTCCTTATACTCGTCGGGCCTTTCGCGTATTTTGCAGCCTATCACGCGGCAAACCCCGAGGGTATTCAAAATGCGGCGGTTCCAGCATCTATTGTACTCAGTTTCTTGTCAGTCTTCTGGGCTGTCGCCGGGCTCAGCCCGGTCGGGGGGAAGCGGGATCAAGCTGGATAGCGATACGCCGAAGTCCCCTGAACGAACACCCCGGGACCCGCTGTGCTTCCCCGCATTATAGGCATCCGTCAGGCCATTATATACTTACGCCAGGGGCGCAAGCTCATAGATTGCAGCGCACAGCCTCTTGCCCGCTGTTTCGGGTCGTGATTATCCGGCGGCTTCGCGAATTCACGAGGACATGGTATGAATGCTTCGGATCCAGCCGAGTCCATGGCGATCTTCTATCCAACGAAGCCTTTCTCCTCTGCCCAAGTCTTCACCGCCTTGCCTATTTGAGGGCTAACCCCTTCGCGCTCTAATAATTTACAGCGGTTCTCTTCAGGTGAACGATGGCTGGGCGTCGGAAGCACCCAGTTTACATTGCAAATAAGTTTTTTTTCCTTCATGAAACTACCGAACATGCAAACAATGGAACCTGATGGAGTTTGGAAGCGGAAAAGGGATAGGCAAAGCAGCTAAGCCGAGAATAAAAACACAGCAGGAAGCCCCGTGCACCTCAGTTTCAACACGCGGAAATTTTTGCAAGGGCGGAACGGAAGGTTACGATCAGCTTCTTCTTTGTGGTTTGGCTGGAATGAGTGAGGGGCGTGGCGAGAGCGAGCAAAAAAGAAGATACAGATAACAAAAATCAGGTTTACTGCAATGCGCGGTTACACGCATCGCAGGCCTGGACCGATCCAGGCAGGGATCGAACCTGCAATCTCTTGATTCGTAGTCAAGCGCCTTGCCATTTGGCCACTGGACCTATGCTTAAGATGTGTGGAATGTCCTCCATGCAGGCTTATAATGTGGGTTTGGGATGACCCGGAAAATCCTTTGTGGTGGCCAAGCCCCGGTGGTTTTTGTCACACAGCTTGCTTGCCCTGGACCTCTTTTCTTATGGGCACGGCTCTACAAAGTTTAAAAAGTCGGTTTATTTATCTAAGTTTTTATTACCATCTCACTAATAGCCCCTCGACAGGCCATGTCGCCATGTCGGTCACCCTGCGAGGGGCATGCGAGGTGCTCTCTATCAGCCCCGATTGGCTAGTACAGGGCCGCCAAAGCCGCAAGCGCAAACACGGTCATCACGGACGAGGTGACCGACACAACCGCCGAAGCAGCTCCCTGAACAGGACCGCCCGCGCCCGTCCCGTTCCCGCACCGCCCGTCGCCGGCGACCTCGAGGAGCACGGCCTCGGCCATCTGGATCGGGAACTCGACGTTGCCGCCCTTGCCGACCCTGACGACCTCGCGCCGGGGCGAGCCGACCTGTGCGCCGGTCCTCTCGTCGAACGAGACGCCCGAGACGCGCACGCCCGACTTCGCGTTGCTTCCCGGCCCCGTCATGCGCACCACGGCCACCTCGGCGCCCTCGCACCACGGCGTGGCGGCCACCGTCATGCTGGCGCGCGGCCGGTCGCCCTTGCTGTGGAAGGCCGGGTCGACGTTGTCGGCCGTCGAGATGGTCGACGGGTTGCTGAGGCCCTCGGTGCCGTTCCACACGCCCATGTCGAGGAAGACGAGCTTGCGGAGCCGCTTGGCTGAGTTGCTGCTGCTACGCCCGTAGACGCCAAAGCCGCTCAGGTCGCTCGAGTTGGCGCCAGGCAGCGCCGCGATCTCCAGCTGCTGCCCCTGGCTCCCCGGCTGCTGCTTGACGACGTGGGCGACAAAGTAGTGGGCGTACCAGCCCGGGCGGATGCCCATGGTGAGGGACTCGTTCTTGAAGTAATAGTCCCTAGGCACGAAGGACGAGTACTCGCTCATGGCGCCCAGGTGGTAGTAGACGTGGCTGATGCCGAGCGCGGCCAGCGTGAGCGAGTAGTCGACGTTCCAGAGCGCGCCGCCGAGCGTGTCGCTGATGCCGCTGCGGCCGCTGCAGCTGATGGAGTTGGTCTCGCCCATGACGAGCGGGGCGCCGCCGACCTTGCGGGACGCCTCGACCTGCGGCGCCAGCTGCGACGTGTTGAGCCAGACGGTGGTGTGGTTGGACAGCAGGTCCAGGCGCATGCGGTGCCAGCGGGCCGGGTCGCACGTCGACATGGGGTACATGTGCACGACGAAGCTGTCAATGTTCAGGCCCCCGCGGGGGGCCTCGTTGACGAGCCCGGCCCGCGTCGTCACGTTGATGATGTCCATGTCGTCCAGCTGGTCCTGCTGGTCCGGCACCCAGGGCGGGTCGGCGAACGAGGCGGCCACCCACTTGGGGGCCTTGTCGCCGGCTTCGCGGAACCACTGGGACTCGCGCACCATGGAGGTGACGTGCCGGAACTCCTTGACGTAGTTGACGACCCCCCACGACGAGTTGCGCCAGCCCTTGTTGATGAAGTGGTCGATCTCGTTGCCGAGCTCGAACCGGACGAGCTTGGTGCCCAGCCCGCGCCACGCGGCCTCGGCCTGGGCTCGCGCCGTGGCCCAGTCGCTCTGGTTCTCGTGCATGTTGAGCGTGTAGGTGAGGTTGGTGCGCGGGTCGAAGTAGTCGCCCCAGGCCTTGAACCAGGACCGGCTGATGTTGAACCGCCTCGCGGTGAGCGGCGTCGGGATGGCCACGGCCGTGGTGTTGAGCACGCCGTCGTCCACCAGCGTGGTGTTGTCGGCAGTGTTGCCGCCCACGCGGATCGGCGGCGGGTGGCCCGTCAGGCCCGTGATGGACTTGAACAGCGTCGCCATCAGGTCCGTGCTGATGAAGTCGTTCACCCACACCGGCTCGACCGAGTAGCCGATTATGTCCCGGTAGAGCGGCTCCGTGTGCGGGTTCTCGGGCAGCGCCACCTTGTTTCCATGTCGTTGCGCCTGGCTGGTGCCGGCGCAGGCCAGCAGCAGCGCGAGGGCTGCCGTCCTCTGTTCGAGCAGCATTGATGTGACTTCGGTGCGTCCGAGGCTCCGGTGCTACAGAAGTGCGACCCCAGGGGGACGAGAGCCAGTACTAAGAGCTGGAGAGGGTGGCCAGATGACAGCACCCCGTGGTTAGGCCTGATGCTCGCTCGGGGTTTTTATAGATGGACTGCGCAAAGTAAAACAAGCCAAGTCCCGCTCGGAACCGGCATATTTTCTCTTGCCAAGCACCGTTCAGATCCCATATGCATCCGATACCCTCGTCAAGACTTGGTTCCCCCGCAACCGAGAAAAAAAAACCATGGGCCGATTCGGGCCGGCGGCTGTATAGGTCGCCTGCTCGGCCCCTGTCCAGGGTTGCTTTCATTCAGGAACCGGTGTCACGCGCTGGCAACGGTAGCAGTGCTGCGTCGTGACGTCGATGGGGCCACGAGTTTGGCGACGTCGAGGGGAAGCATCCCGCTGCCGGGCGAATAACAGATGGCATACGAGTCTGTCGTCTCCCCCTCATTTCCCCGCACCGCACCAACCCCCTCGCAGCCGAGCCAGGAACGTTACATGGCCGGGGAAGAGTGAGATGCGAGGCTCTCGGTCGACTGCCAGGCGAGGCGGCGATGGAGGAATGGCTGCGGGGCTGGCCCCCGCCGCTGCAACCCTGTAGGGGTTCCAGGTCGACACGCTGGCGCTATCCTGGCTTACCCCGCGGGGATGTCGGGGCAATCTTCTGGCGAGATCCTAGCAACAACAACGCTTTTTTTTCCTTGCCCGCCCTTCGAATTCGGGGAAATACCGGTACTGGAAGTTGGGGTGAAAACCTGGATGAGGAGAGCGCAGATCCATGTTGAGGGGTTGAACTTGAACCCCAGCGGAGTAAATGCATTCCACTAGCCACGGCATCCTCGCTGAAAGAAGTGCGGCAGGACTGACATCAGGGATAAAATCGCCGGGATACATGAGCTTCGGTCATGTTGAACCACCCAAAACTCCAGTTCCTGGCCGCCACCATCACGGCCAGGGGTAACGCCGCCGACGGAGAAGATGCAAAGAAACGAGCCCGACCCGAAGTAAAGCCAGAACAATGAAGAAAAATAGCCATATCTCGGTCCTCAAATGGGGTCGTGGTTGATGATGGCTGAGATTTTTTGCTTGGCGCGCGACTATAATCGTCATGTTAGCCTCCTTGCATCCCCAGATGAGCACACCACCACAAGGCACAAACCTCAAACGGAGCAAAGTGCTCGTCAATCTTCTGCAGCTGCTCGGCCTCCATCTCGACAAAGTACGCCGTCTTCTTGGACCCCATCTCGCGGACCTTGTGCCTGCTCGCCTGGCTCCAGCCGTCGATCCAGATGTGCCAGCCCGCCGAGGCCCTCCTCGAGACGACGTCGAAGCCGTCGGGGGCGAAGACGTAGGCGATCGAGTTGTCGTACATGGCCGAGTAGATGGCCCGCAGCTCGGCCCGGAGCCGCCGGACCGTGGCCAGATCCAGGTCCGCCAGCGACGCCCGGCGCTCGAAGTCGGGCCGCGCCAGCGTCATGACCCCGTTCTGCCCGTTGGCCCTGAGCAGCCGCGGGAAGTGCGGCGCCAGGAACGGGATCTGCGCCACCTGTCGCAGCCGGCCCTCCTTGGACCGGCCGAATTTTCGGCTGGGTCGTGTCCAGACTTCGTCCTGTGGGGTTGTGTCGGACACTTTTTAGTTCCCTTTGTCGGCCTTATGGCGGCGTCGTAAAGGGCACTCACCCATACGAATATGCTCTCGCCATTCTCGTCAACATCATGCCTCTCTCTCCAAACGAGCCTTGCTGTGCGGGGCCACCGCCCCGAGTGTGGTGGTCTCATGGCCGTTGTGGGTGATAGTGGAGTCGAAGGGGGTGAGCTCGAGGTTGACTTCATTTTGTATTCTTGTGGGCTGGATCTGCAGAATCGTCCAGGCGGTTGGAGGCTTTGTCGGGGTGGTGATAAGCGGGGACGGTGTTGGTTGGACGGCTTCGGTTCTTTCCAAACGGGCTATATTAATATAAGCAAGCCCAGCCGCTCCGCCACAGCCAGCTGGGACATTATGTCGTTAATAACGCTGGGCGGAATGTGGTGTTGGGTTGGACAAGCTGCCTGGGAAATCCACTCAAACTTGCGCATCGCTCTCAAACATGCTCAAACGGGTGTCTAGGAGAGACGTTTATTTCCGCATTAGGCCTGGATCCGCTTGTTAACTTTGTGTAGCACCAGCCAACCAGAGCCTCCGCTGCTCAATTCTGCTCTCTGTTTTGGGATAATTCGAGTGCTCAGCGGCCATCACTCAAACCAAACCAAACCAAAGAAGCTGCAGCCTTGAATAGTGGCAGTCATCACCACGATGCATACTAACAACCTAGGTTTTGCAAGTAGGTAATTATGCTTTGACTACCAAATCACTTGCCTACACTTTTCCCTCTCTTGACTCAACTAGCGGTTCAGACCAGCACTTTGGCCAGATGTTCTGCCGCCTTCTCATCTTGCCAGTCCACCAGGACTCGATCTTTGGCCTCTTCCATATTCTGCTCCACAAAAGGCTCCATAGCCTCCAGCTGAGATGGCGTCAGGAGCTCGAGCCGCGCCTTGTGGTCTGCCTCTTCATTGGGGCCGAAGAAGGCCGGGTCCAGATACCGCCAAAAGAAGAAGTCGAACGACCAACTCTTGCGGGACACCCAGTTGATCATCCAGGACTTTGTCCCCCACCTGCGGCGCATCCTCTGGGCGAGCGTCTTTTCCGCCCCGGCGCCGCCTGCTGCCAGTTTCTCTTCCTCCTCCTCCAGGACGTGGAGGAACACTTCAAGCCGCGGCCCATAATCTTCCAGCCACTGCCTAACGCCCTCATCCCATCGGTCAGGCGCTTCCAGGAGCAGCCACCAGGGCGGGTCAAAGGCGAACTGCGACGGGGCCATGTACGCCCACCCCCAGTCGATGACAGCAACAACCCGGCCGCCTTTGTCGACTAATACGTTTGAGGGGGTGAGGTCTTCGGAAAAGAGGCGGAAAGAGGCCTCACCCGGATCCGACCCGGCGTCATCGTGTTTGCCACCATGATCCAGACCCTTCGAGAGCCGGCCTTCGGCGGCAAGCTTGCGGAAGAGCTGGCGGGCGACATACTTGTCGCGAGCGTCGTCCTCGTCGTCGACGGCGTCGTTGTGCTGGAACACGAGCTGCGTGAAATGCATGTCGGCCAGCGCCGAATAGCAATCGTCGGCCGTCGAGTACGTGCCGGAAGGCAGTAGCGAAGTGGGGACCTTGGCGTGGTTAACCATTTCGTTCATGTTTTGGATTAACGGCCTGCCGCGGACCGAGATGGAGCCGTCCTCGTCCTCGACCAAGGACCCGATCTTCGGGAACTCGAGAGTGGACAACTGCGCGGTGATGTTGGCCATTTGGCGGTAGAGGAAGCTAAGCCTGTCGTTGGATATGTTGGGATCCAGTGGTTCAGATTTCCCGGCCTCACGTATGGGGTCTTTCATAGCCTCGAACAGAGTCCGGGCGTGATCAACGTAGTCCATGATGATAAATGGACCCATGCCGGTCGGGTTTTCGGCGGCGCTGCCATAGTGATACACTTTGGGCACCGGGATGGTAGTATGCGCGGCCACGAAGCGCATCGTGGCCACCTCGTATTTGAGTTTTTCCTCGGGAAAGCATACGGGACCTGGATTTTCTGTCAGCGTCGAGCAACACCAAGGTTCTCCCAGAAACCTAAGCACCTTTAGTAGGAACACGGAACACCACAAAGAGGAGCCATCATCATATTCGAGGCGGTAGCAGATGTTGTACCCGCCCTTGAGGGCACGTGGAGCCTCACGGCCTTGCCCGGCTTGTGCTTCAAGATGAAGTCTCCGATGGCGCGCTCCAGAGAGGCGCTTCCGAGGATGGTGGCCTCCCATGCATCGTAGGCCTCGTCGCTCTTTTCCCAGGCGAGGTCATCTGGCGACTGAAGGATCGACCGCAATTTGGGGGGCATAGCAAGGTAACAGATGCGGGGTTGGCCTCGGCGGACTCTAATGAGTGAATATGTATTGAAAATGGGGTGCAGAGGGTGACAGCAAATGACCAAAGGTAACAACTTTGTAGAGAGTAATTGTGGTGAATAGATCGCGGCGGAAAAGAAGCGCGGGGTGGGAATGCACACAGACGAAGGGGGCGGTGTCTCCTCGGCCGGCCAAGGCGAGACGCAGGCCATAAGCACAGCAAAAGGGAAGGACGAAACGAGGTTCGAACTCGTGACCTAAAGATAAGTCGCTTCTTGACTGCAATCTTTCGCTCTACCACTGAGCTATTCGTCCTTGTTGGGGTTGACGATGCCGTGGGGGCTGGAAGGTGGGTTGAATGCTGTCGTTCTGGGGCGGTGGTGGGCCTCGAACACTGACAGAATGGGGTAATGGGGGCTATTGACAGGTGTCATCAGGGAATGAAAAGGCTCCAAGTGGCAGGAGGAGAAAACAAAGTTTTGAAACAAGAAAAAAGAACCAGACACGATTAGAAAATCATAAAAGTATCCGAGGCGATCCGTCCGAATAATGTACAGTGTTGGTGTTGCTCAAGTGAGCTACGGGTATCCCATCCAGGTCCACCCTCTCCCCTACAACCGTCCTACTTTCCCTTGCTCATTATCTACACCTCGGCTCAAACGACAATGCGGCGGTCGATGCGCATCGACGAGGGCGCAGCAGCAGCAGTCCGCCGCGGCAGCGCGGCGCCGGCGGTGCGGGTGGCGTGGTACAGGGTCAGTGCGGCGTTGACGGCGGCAACGTCCGGGTAGGGGTTGAAGCTAGCCATGAACTGGACGCGCTGCTCGATGGCGGCGGGCGAAAAGGGGCCGGTGCGGGCGCGCAGGTCGGCAACCTGGTACGGCTTGGGCCTCCAGAGCGGGTCCATGGGGTCGAGGAAGCGGGCGTTGCTGCTGTTCCTGTCGAAGGCAAAGTCGGGCAGGGACGTGACGTTGAAGGCGGCCATCATGTCGTGGTCCTCGTGGATGAGGTTGTGGCAGTGGAACATGTACAGGCCGTCCCAGGGCTCGTAGTGCGCCTCGATCAGGACGCGCTCGTTCTTGGCCAGCCAGACGACGTCCTTGAGGCCCGCGGCCTCGTACGGCTGCACGCCGCGCTCGCGGCCGCCCTCACGGCGCAGGATTTTGAAGTCGACCAGGTGCACGTGGATGGGGTGCGTCCAGCCGCCCGAGTTGTTGATCAGCTCCCACACCTCGACGGTGCCGCGCTGCGGGCGCGCGAGCACCCGGTTGGCCACGTCGGCGAAGCCCACGCCGTTGATCAGCCACTCGCTGCCGCCGCGCTCGAACCGGAAGCTGTGGTCGACGATGCTGCGCGACGGCGGGAAGGCCACCTCGCGGAGCCGCGCGGGCACCACCGACGTGTCGGGGCTCGCCAACCGGCTGGCCACGTTGAACTTCATGATCTTGCCCGTCTCCTTGTAGTCCTTGTCGGTGCCGACGTCGCCGACATCCTCCTCGTTGCGCCTGAGAAAAACATGATGTGTCAGATTTGCATACCACAAAGGAGGGGGCGGAAGCTCGAGATCCAGTGCAGTCTCCCGATGTTTGACTTACAGCTCGATGGACTGGCCGGCATATTGAGAAAAGTCAAAGACCACCTCCCAGCGCTCCGCAAGAGACATCCACTGCCCAAAGAAGCACAGTCAGCAAAATGGTCGCAACTATCATCAGTCTCCCAACGTGGCACATACCAGTCTGTTGGAAGTGACGGGGGTCTCGAGGAGCCCGGCGTCAGAGGCGATGACCTGGAAGTCGAGCTTGGTCTTGAGCGCGGTGCTCTTCGCAAAGAAGAGCGAGAAGGAGCGCGAGACGGAGGCGTCGAGGAAGCGCAGGCGGTACTTGCGAGGCTGCACGTTGAAGAAGGGCCACGGCTGCCCGTTGACGTGGATGACGTCGCCCCAGAGGCTGTCGCGCTCCCCGGCGGGCGAAAACAAGGTGCCGTCGTTGTTGTACTGCTTGGACGTGATGATCAGAGGAATGTCGAATTCGCCGTAGCCCGAAGGGAGATTAAGTGCCCTCTCGGCAGGATCCTCGATGATGTATGCGCCGGCTTGCCCAAAGTACGCGTTTTCAGCCGTCTGTTGATTTGACATTGCCTTGTTAGCATACCTCTTTGGCTCCCAACAAACCCCCTTCTTCTTTTCCACCTCTTTTTATTTCCAAAACAGCTGCTGGCAGACTTACGATGGCGACGGCGTGGTCGTGATACCACATCATCCGGCCCTCCTGCGAGTTCGGATAGTAGTAATCCTTATATTGTCCAGGGTTGGTCGTATCCTCGGCCCAGCCGTCAAAGGGCGCCCGCGAATACGAGCCGTGGAGGTGGACCGAGTTCGGCAGCTGGGCATTGTTGACGAAGCGGACAATGGTCTCCTGACCCCTGGGGACTATAAAGGTAGGGCCGGGGGATATACCGTCGTATCCCACCATCCGGGCAGGGCCGAGGTTGGGGTACACCTGCTGGCTGAAGGGCTTGATCTCGACTTCGTAGTACCATATCGGCCTCCCGGTGCTCGTGTTGGTGACGATCCTGGAGAGTCGTGTTAGCCATGCCCGACACACGCCTTTTCCTCCCAACCATCGGGCGACGGAGACTTACTGCAGCGGCCGCTTGACGGGCGGGATGGGAAGCGGGAAGTTGTAGATGTATTTGTACGGCGGGCTCTCCCAGTCCTTGCGCCTCGTCAGGGGCGCGTGGTCCTCGTGGACGTGCTGCTTATGCACGGCAGGGTCCATGTTGGTCATGTTGTACGTGTATCCTTCCCACCCATCGTAGCCTTTCCATATGGTCGGATTCGATCCTGCAGCCGCAGAGGCGAAGAGCTGCAGGAGCGGGAGGGCGACCGAACGAGTGCGCATCGTGACGGCTCACGGCGAGGACGAACCAAGGGTACAATCCCTGAGAAGGTTCAAGGGGAAACGAGTGTGAGCAGGCCTCAAGGCTAGGGGGGCGGTCTGGCTTGGGAATTCCAAACGACATGCATCATGAGAAGTTTGGGAACGGTCGTTTATATAAGAGAGCTCGACGCCGTCCCTGGTCGTCTTGGGCTGATTCGCGCATGCGGTCCGGGGGCCTATCGTGGCCCATTGGCCTTCGCACCTCTTCCCGCCGCCGTTATCATAGCACACTCGAGATACCATACTGGACTGCAGCGGTGGGGCCATGGTGGGAAGGGGGTTGGGCCGTTCGCCTTGACCTGGACTAGGCCATGATCGGCGGCTCGCGAGGGAAGGAAAAAAAAATAGGCCGTAGCCGTGCATCGCCGCAGAGAGTAGAGAGGTTTCGCCAAAGAAACTAGGGCCTCGGGGCCGGACCGATGCTCGACTCCCAATATTAGCAGCAGGGTGGTCCCGCTCGGGCCGAAGGACGTGGGTCCCATAGGCAGCCTCCTCAGTCCCTCGTAATGGCATTGTTATTGCCTTTTTATCTTCTCGCTTGCCATGGGCTGAGCTTTGTATTGAACACTTGTCAGTTGGCTGCAGATATCGAGTCACGAGCATGGGCCAGAAACAGCATAAGCCAGTCGAGGCAGTGTCGTCAGTGGTCGACCGAAAACAAAGCTGAAAAAAGGTATCCTCCTCACCTATTTTCAGCCAGCGGCTGGTGGAGAACCCAAGGTCTCGATCCGACGTTTGGGCGGCCATGATACTTCTGCAGTGCTAGGGCTCAGTTGTGGTTTACAGCCGGGGGTCTTGGAAGGCGGGAGCATCGAGACTAGCGTGCCCGCGCCCGTGTCCTCGAACAGGGTCCGATCTAATGGATCGATCAGCACGGCTCTTTCTTGTGTACCTTTGGGGGTCCCACCATAGAAAATAGCCAAGGTGGTTGAGGTGACTAGCAAGACGACCTAGACGTCGCCTGAGCTTCCCCGATATTCCAATGAGCGGCCTTTCTGGGAAATGCATCGCTGCCCGGGTCGGTGAAGCTACGACGGAGGCCAAGAAAACATGTGCCGAAGGGCAGCTGGGCATGCCCGAGAAAGGAGACGCAGGAAAAGTTCAACAGGAAGAGACAGCGCTCCCAATCTAGGCCGACTTGTTTGGGCCTCGTCCCCATCACTTACGGACTGGCGCCTTGGCTGGCTCCTTGGCTCTCTCAGATGGCGCTCAGGCTGGAGGGGCATTGATGCGCCACCTGACCTTCGCAATTCGACTTCTCGTTCACCAGGATGTCAAATCGGAAGACCTGGGGCGCGCAGGGGCTGTCGAGCTGGACAAAGCTTGGACATAGACTTTGGTCAACGGCCGAAGAGCAGATACGCTCGGGTGTGAATATCGGGTTGTGGATATGAGGTGACTTATACAGCCGCGCTGCGCCCCGTATACGCGCACAGGACAGCGATGGGGCAAAACAGCGACGTTTCCACAACGGGAATTATAGTTGTTAGCACATATTTGTACCTGCATCCTCTGTCCCGTGCACAATTCTCAACATGGCGGCTTGGACGGAGACTTTAGGTGTTGGCTGGGAAAGTTCCGCCCGTGCTGACCGCAATCGATAGCCAGATGTTGACAGGATGAACCCAGGAGCATCACCCAGGGTAGGGCTTCGAACGAGGCCTGCGCTTCTCGAGACTTTCGGTTTTCGTCCGACCATCCCGCCGCCAGGGACCGTCGTCATTGCTGCCGTCCGATCCTTCGACATTTATCTGAACCACAGCGGGAGAGCTGCCGATAGATTTTTAGTCGAAGGGACGGTGGAGGCAGAATGCAGTGTAACTCCGACTACCCCCAAAGTTCTTGGGCTGGGGCCGACGCTCTGTGCGGGTTCGCCCGTTTAGGCAATTGATTTAATGCGTGCCTACCAAGATACTTGGACCGTTCTCACGATTCTTTCTGTAATTTCTCCTTGGTTTTGATCCCAACGGCAGCCGACCCTTATTACATATTGTCGTCTCCCCGCATCGGAGGGTTTCCTTCCTGGGACGAGTCTGCGCAGGAGAATACCCAGAACAGGGATCATGTCCCGTGATCGCAAGCAATCCTTCAAAGGAAGAACAGACGCGAGTGGAGATTCGTCTCGCACACAAGCTGAACCTGGAAATCCGAGCTGGCCAGTGGCGAACAAACATATACCAAGCATTGTTTTCTGACTATCGATAACTCACCAACCAAATCCTGTGGGCTCTTGTCAGCGCGCGACGACTCGATGGCATCGTAAACCCGCCGGAGAAACAGAAACGGGATGCGATCAAAGGAGCTCTTATCCCCTTGAGCATGGAACTGCTGAGCTGAGCAGAACAGTTCGAAGGACCTGAGGAGGCGGTCGGTCTCCAGGATCTTGGACCTGTCAGTAGATTTGCTTGGCAAAGCCACTATTGAACACGACTCGGGTGTTTTTTTGGGGGGTTTTGGGGGGGGGTTTTTCAGGG